ACAGAGACAGACAGAGACAGACAGAGACAGACAGAGACAGACAGAGACAGACAGAGACAGACAGAGACAGACAGAGACAGACAGAGACAGACAGAGACAGACAGAGACAGACAGAGACAGACAGAGACAGAGACAAACAGAGACAGACAGACAAACACCGACAGCCTGTCCAGCTTTACAAGCTGGCACAAGACAAGCAGATACTCAAACATGACCAAGGCTGACACGACTGCACGAGATAGCCTCAAACCTTAGCCCAGGATCCTAAACCTCAGGCTAACTCGGTATCCCGAGTTCAACACTCTGAATTGACAGCCATCCCGGCACCTGTACCATGCCGGACATCCGCGCAGGAATGTCTGCCTGACCTGAGCGACCCCAACTCTGAACCCATACGCTCTCACAACTCGGACATGCTAGGCGAGGTCCCGCGGTTGAAGGTCGGTGTGACACAAACTTGCATGCCTTCCTGCCTGAATCCATAAGGGATCCGAAAATGATCGAACATTTCACAAAATATTATCCTTTTGTGACTTTTGTGGGGTCTATCCTTTTGGACCCTTCAAGTGATCTGGGAGTGCCTGTGTTTACAAGGCTTTGGGGCTCAACATCGAGTTGATCTCTTGAGCAGGCAGCCGGGAAATAAGCGGGGACTGAGCGATCCGGTTTTGGTAGGGTTTAGTAAAGGGTTTGGGGTGCAGGGCTTCTCAGAGGGCTCTGGACCTCATGATCATAACTTTGCACTGGCACGTCTTCCTTCGTCTTCTGGTATTGCCTTGTGCACTTGCGGTCGTTTTCGAGGTACTAGCAATGCCAGGCAATGGCATGACATGACTCTCCTGCGCACCGAAACCTTTCTGCACCAGGGAGCCGAACCCAAGCCCCGGAAACCCGAATCCCAGACTCGTTTTTAAACCCTGAACTAGGTTAAGCACTAGGCCGGAAACTGGCCAATATTACTCCACGGGGCTCCATACTAGAGTTATAATGCATTAGTATATACAGTATCCTCTACCCCACAACCCCCTGGGATGATTAGGGTCCCTTGGTTGTTCACTGAGCCATGGCACCAGAACCTCCAGCGCAGCTTTGCGAGGCACGATCAGCCTCGAGGGCGCCAGCCGCAGGATGATCATCGAGATGCCTCAGCTCCCGACGGCCCCGAGGCTCAAGGGCCTACTATGATTTTAGGGTTTAGGGTTTAGGGTTTAAGGTTTAGGGTTTAGGGTTTAGGGTTTATGAATGTAGATCTGATGATGATGATGACTATTCTTATGGTTAGTAGTGGTATGAAACAGTATGAGCATTACTCATTATTACGAACATTCTTAATGATTACGGCTTGTGAAGGCCCGTTTGGGTGGAAAGTCTGGCGGAGAGGGTCTTCGGGCTTTGAGTTCAGGACTACTGAAGCGCCTTCTGCTTCGCGCTGATGTAACCTGCAAGGGGGGAAGGTACCCTGCCTAAACCCGAAACCCTGAATCCCAAACCCTGAACTCTCCGTATCTCAGCTCAGGTTCCCAGGCAGCCGTAGACCATGGAAGATATCAGAGTATAGCTGCCGATCTTGTCCTTCCTCGGATCGTGTCAACACTGCGGCAGCTTAGGGGTTTCGTTGGATCCAACCTGTGGGTGTGAGTCATTGTATATTATATTATATATTATATTATATATTATATTATATATTATATTATATTATACTATTGTGTTCTAACATGTTTAGGGTTTTGGAAGCTGCATACCAGATCTCGCTTTGAGGCGAGACTAACATTGTCATAGTGCTGAAGCAACTCCCTAAGGAAGAGTCGAAAGCTACCGCGTGCCCAGACCTGCTGAGCCACATAAAGGACTAAGGGACGTGCTCAGCAGGTAAGTGCTTTAAATAGATTGGCATTGTAGTAGTGCTGAGCTTGAATGGGAACTATATAAGTTGGGCCACGGATCTTCTACAGTAACCCCTAACCCCATTGAAGCGGCACTTGAAGCAGCAAGATCATAGCCCGTGCGACCGTCCTTGAAAAGTACTCGCTTACAGTTGCAGTGATGCAACCACAACCAGCTGCAGGCAGGGATAGGGATCCCTCGCATGCAGAGTGAAGAGAAATCCTGTACTCCTTCAACTGTTGGGGCAGCCTGTGGGCGCGTGAGCTGAACAATCCCAGCTAGGATATGTCTTCCAGCTAATCAGAAGTCCTTCCAGATTCCAAAACAGTATTTCATGACAGCATCTCTTCTGTAATATTGCAGTTCTTGTTGTGGGAGGTTGAGGCGGGGATCTGAATCAACGGCCTGCGTCAACCGATCAGAATATCCTAGACGACTGAGCTGTTCATGAAGGCGTGTACGCTGAACCACAGAAAACCTGCTCACCTTCTCAAAGCTGCCATGTCACGTAGCGAAGGCGGTTTTGGCCCAGTTGTCCCAGGAATAAAGATTAAGGGCGACCACCTAGCAAGCAAGGAAACTTGAAGTGCCTCGGGTCATCGGAGAGTCGTAGAGTTGGACGCAACTTCTTTGAACTTAAAGTAATCCTTTCTACGGTCTGCTGGGCTTGAGGTCCCTAAAGTCCTACAGCTTGTCCAGGCGGCTCTTTTTGGAATAGAGCATGCTTGCATGCAGATGCCATGCTTCGGGGACATGCGCAACTGCCCGCACTTCTGCGATTTTGCAAGATTGACAAAGCACCAACAGTCACACAGTGACAGTTGCCAAGACCGTGCCTGGGCCCAGCCTTTATAAGACCAAGTGTTGTGCTGTCGTAGTCGGGTCTACGGCAAAGAAGGGCAGGGCCACAAATCACATCTTGCAGCGAGAGATGAAAGTCTATGAGAAAAGTCTGCACTAGACACTGCAGCAACAAACCGAACAGCAACCCAACGAACCTTGACAGTGCTCCACAGGTCCACAGCGACTGCGGGGTTAGCCGCCATGGCTGGGTTTGGGAATTCACCGGGGTGTAGGCCCATCTTGCCGGCCAGCCTGCCAAACGATGATGATCAGGAAGCCAAGAAGTCCTCATGTCCGCGATGTTCGGGGTCCCTTGTGGGTCGGAGCTCGAGAGGTGTCGAGTAAGAAACACGAGCACCCCAATGCCAAGGCTTTTCCGGCACGTCTGCTAGAGTCTGATCTTTTTTTCGAGAGCCCGCTCGGACACCTGGGGCGTTTGAGATGTGCTGGGTTATTAAGGGCTCTGGGGTTGAGGGCTGTAGGATTCAAGACAAGGGTCTTCGTATCATGAGCTGAGGTGTGGGCTCGGTCAGGTCTGCTTATGTATCAAGAAACATCCTTAAATCTCCTAGAATAGGGCTTTGGGGATTATTATACTATAACTACAAAAAGGAGCCCCAAAAAATAGTATAGGTAATTATCCATTATCCTTGGCGCCTGGCCTGGCGATGTGCAGGGAACCAAACTCCAGGCAGCCCCGCCATGGAAAACCCTAAAACCCTAAGCCCTAAAACTCTAAAACCCTAAAGCCCTAAACTCAGACGAGCTGCTCTGGTGGCTTTTCTCCCACTCCTGACCAGACAGGCTCTTGGGCGCTTCTCATGAATATGCGCGCAGAGCTCGTCCCGGCCCCCTACCCTGTCACCACACTGTTGTGATAGACACGTGACCCGGCTGAGGCAATACACATGTTCACATCGTTTACTTGGTGCTTCGGCATTCGACATCTGAGTACCAACAGAAGTAAGAAGCTTGATCCTACCGGCCGCTGCACCAAGCGGCAAAGGTAAAGGTACCCAACCCAAATGAAAATGAAAACAAAAGCAGCTGTTGCTTTCCAAGAAAAGAGCCATGTAAACAAAAAACAAACACAAAAAAGAAGCCGCATGGTAGCCCTCACAGTAGCTTTTAGTCTGGGGTGGCAGACTCACAGCTGAGGCAAGGCACGGTCTTCTCACACAGCATCGTGACTTTGTCGCTCTGCTTCGGAGACGCGCGAAGTGCGCGGGGCAGCCGATGCCTGCACCTGGCTAGGTTCTTGACTCGGTGGGGAACTGAAGGTACGAGTAAGAGGGATAGTAGAAGTAGACTAGGAAGGTTTGCATATCATGGGAAGCCAAACCAACTTCTTCAACAAGATCTGCTGGACCGTTCTGGCAACGGCTGGTCTCTGCTTACAGAGAACCTGGCGTCAGCCAGGCTGCTCTGTAAAAACCAAATGCCGCTAAATCAAAGGTGAACCCTAAAGCCAAAAGGCCCGTACATCCCGAGTCCCTGAAATAGTTACAGTAGGGTTGAGGAACTTGATGGGGCCGGGCGAAAGCAAGCCTGCCGGGGATCATCTAAGCCCAGAAACCTGCACAAACCACATGACATGGACTATTGCAGGAGATCGGAGGCCTCGGTGGGCAGTCGCAGGACATCGAGAAGCTCCTCCATGCGAACTGACTGCGCGGAGAACTGGAAGTGGAACAGCATGCAGATTCCGGAGGCCTCAGGCTCATCAGACGGACCTAATGTAGGGGCCTTAATAATTAGAATTGGGTTTTGGGGGGGTTTCCTATTATTATAAGTATAATAGAATATACCCCCTATTCTAATTATTAAGGCCCCTACATTAATTGAACAACTGCTACACCGTAACGACGACAAAAACGACAGCCACAGAAGCAAACACACCTAACACCACCGCCGACAACGACGACACAGCAGCATCGGCAATACCAACAGCAACAGCAACAACAGAGCAACATGGACAAGACCGACATGCAACAATAAGAGGACGAAGAAGTGCATACGATAACTAAGCAGAGCTCACACAAATCAAGGAAAATCCATGGCAGTGCAGAAACAGCAGCAAGCTGGCATGACAACATAGACCATCGGACGGATACACAGCAGTCGTTGCGATGGCTCTAGTGATGGTGCTAATGGTAGTGGCGGTGACAGATGGCAAGCCGGTCACAACTAGGTGTTCTCCCTCACTCCAACAAACCGACGTCTTTCCTTTCCGTCCTCACTCCCCGAAACCCTAAACCCATCAAACTGCCCAAAACCCTTCCCGGAACACCTGGGGAACGATGGCTGTGCCCAGGCGGGCACGGCAGCGCTGGTGGCAGAGCGCCTCGGTTGACTGCTCAGGCTGCTGCATCGATAGCTAAGCAGGAACTGTAGAGCTCGCGATTCTCGACTCCCTAAATTCTTCTCTACCAATTCTTATAAATCCCTTCTGCCTTATTCTAATTTCAAGGGAGCTGAAAATCGATGACCACCCAGGTGGGACTGAGCTCACCACAGGCCTCCCTGGAATGGAGCCTTTGCTTGGCAGAGCCCTAGACCAAAAAACATGGGCTCATAAGGTTTTACAGGTCAGCGTTTGGAGGGTTCAAGTCGATTGGGCGCCTGATGGTAAGTCAGGTCCGGAATGTGAAAAGCAAAGCTACTCCGAGCTTAAACGCTAAGTCAGCTTTCGGATTAGGGCTTTAATGCTGCAGTGAGTAGACGGACAAATGGGGCGACAAAGTGGAGTGCTAAAGGCCTTGCCCTCAAGATTCGATAGAGCGCGGTGCCAAGGATGATCTTGTGTCATTGGAGGTGGCAGCAATAGCAATTGAGACCAGACAGGCCTTGTTACCGGTAGCACGAACTGCACGGTCTTACCTTTCGTAGGGGTTGGCCGAGGAACCACCCCGGCATTGGCAGGGAATCGCCGCATTGCGCTTTGTGCGGCATACGCTCCGGGTATCTGTACACAGGACCCCTCTATTTGTAGCAGTAGCAAGAACCAGCCTCATCGTTGCCCCGATGATGGGCATCTGACTCGCAGCAACAACAACAAGTCACTAAGTTTGAAGCCGCCTTAATTGTCGTTCGATTCGGCTAAATCTGTCATTCGAGTATGGATAATTACTCAGGACTATTGCCTTGAGGCATGTCGAGGCACCGAGCCAGGCTTAAGCAGAGCGGTAAGTGAGCGATGGCGTAGCGACGACATATGTAGGGGTTCATTCAGCTGTTGTAAGTGCTCAGAGTTTAGGGGGTGGTTCATCGGCTCCGACGGGATGTACTTCCATGACCTGCGCAAACCTAGCCTGCATCACAGCATATCAAAGCCTTACTGTCCGCAATGTTTGCGACTCGCTACACTCGACGACAAAGCAGAAATATTCAGTTGCTGCATCACATTGCGCCACCTCCTTGCTATGAACGAGAGCCGTCCAGCTTCGTGCACCGGGGCCCCAAAATATCATTTTAATTCATTTTACCAGAATCCCTAGACTGGGAACGAGTGTGTGCCGGCCGGGTACTCGGAACGAGCCTGAACAGAACTCCCATGCCAGGCAAAGACCCTCACGTCTGCGACCGCAAATCTACCTGCTGGTCAGTGCATGTGCTGGTCATGACAAGCCCCAGCCACCGGAAGCTTCTATGCCTCAGGGTCTCCAGTTCAGCGGGTCCTGGCTTGATGACTCCATGCCGGCGGCTGCATGGCTCGAGCTACTTCCACACTGCACCGTTGCCCGCAAGGCTAAGTGGGAGGGTTTGCTTGTTTGGGGGTTGGGTGGGGATCGGCCTCTCCTTCTTGAAAACGTCGAGGGCACACAACTTACGGCTGCTGCTTAAACATTGCCAGATCCTTACCATTACCCAAACGTCGGCCATATGGCTTCGTTGAGGCAAGCACGTTCCGGAAATAAACATCAAAAGGACAACGGTAGAGTGGCAGAAGCATTAGCAGTAGCGTTATCATTATTATTATTAGTCGTAGTAGTAGTAGTAGTAGTAGTAGTAGTAGTAGTAGTAGCAGTAGTAGAAGTAGTAGTAGAAGTGAGGTAGTAATAGTAGTAGTAGTAGTAGTAGTAGTAGTAGAAGTAGTAGTAGAAGTGAAGTAGTAGTAGTAGTAGTAGTAGTAGTAGTAGTAGTAATAGTAGTAGTAGTAGTAGTAGTAGTAGTAGTAGCAGTAGTAGTAGTAGTAGTAGTAGTAGGCGCAGCCCGAGCAGTCGCGTAGTCGTCGTAGCAGTAGTAGCACGTGGATGAGGAGGAGGAGGAGGTGGGGGTGGAGGAGGAGCTGTAGCAACGACTTGACTACTACTGGGACTACTACGACGACGACTGCTACTGCTACTACTACTACTACTTCTTCTTCTTCTGGTAGGCGGCAGCAGTAGCAGCAGAGCAACTGCAGCTGCAGCGACAGTCGCAATCCTCGTCCAGTCAGTTTCTGCTTGACGAACGAACGGCAGCAGCTAGTGATAGTGCAAGGACAGGGCAAGAAGACAACACCAACAGCAGCACTACATTATCAACTTCATGGCGATGCGTAAGTAGTTATAAACAAGCAGCTGTAGAGTCAGTTAGGGCCTAACAGTTTGAGAACGTGAACCTGACAGTAGCCATTATAGTCATCGCCGTCGTCTTCATCGTGCTGAACACAAGTTCTTGGCACTGTGGCTCGCGCATGCCATGCCCAACTTTTTTGCTCATGTGCTGCCTCAGCTGATGTCATCCTGCCCTGGGGACACTGGGATCGCCTTCCACAGTGCACGGACACATGTTGGGCGACAAGAGTGGGTCTTGAAGGTTGCAGGGTTTGCAGGCCTACGATCCAGTTGCTGCATACATAGCGAAGAATCATGTTTGTGATAAGGCGGTTGAACTGGAAGTGGCTTTGGCGGAGCCCCGCTGCTGGAGAATCTATCTTCGACCTCTTCCTCGAGTGACAGATCTCGGCTACTTATGATCGCTTCTTTCTCGCGCGGGAGTTGGGCTGCTGTCAGCTCCCCGAATTGACATGACACAAGCGCGATTATCTGGGTTCGCAGTCGCTCAGCTCCAACACCATTTGCGAACTATGACGATGGTATGGATGTCTACATAGGGCACACATGGTAAACGCATGCAAGTGGTCCAAGGAGCAAACGTTGAGTCTGGATATATGAACACTGCTAACAAGAATAGTTGAGGCGGGGTACAAATCAATATTTGCTTTCTGCCGTTACACAAAACACGGATGTGAATATAATGCTGACAAACGAAAACACTCACACACGCATAATTATGCACATATGCATGTAAGTACATCGTTTTTTAGTATACATCATACATACATTGGACATGAATGATTCTATGTATAAGTAAACTTATACAACACATATATATATATATATACATAGCTGTATTGAAGCCGCGCTGCGTCCTAGACTCTGAGGCTGTGAGGCCACAATGCCCGAAACTGCAAAAGTGGAACACAGGTCCTGGATGCGCAAGATGTCTTTTGTCAAGGTGAGCGGCTTCTGGTCTCCACCCATCTGGCAATCAGGAAAGCTCTTAGCCAGAGCACTCATCTAACCTCCATGATGGCCTGTACCCACGGTAGAATTATACGACACCATTCTACACTTCAGAGACATGCATGATCACGTTTGGAACCTCTCAGGCCGTTGCTTATGTGCAGTCCAAAACTTGTGCCGGCGGCAATGTTTTCGCTGCCTTGCGTATATGCCATATGGACACTAACAAGACTCAATTCCCACCGATGGAGACAGCCTTCTTTGCCCAAATGCCTTTACTCAAAAATCCGCGTGACGGGACAGGAAATCGAATACCTGCGAAACAAGGAGATCACTCTGAGACACCATCCGGCCTCCCACTCGCATTCCTCGTCGCCTGGCGAAGCTCCGAACCCCCGCTCCTACACCGTTTTTACATCTTTATGGTGTGATGAGCCAGAATGCTCTGAAGCTCCGAATGCACGGAGTACAGCAGATGCCTTCAACAAGCCACTGTGGCATACTGAAGAGGTTCTCTGGCACCTGAAAGAACAGAGGAAAACCCGAACTCAGGAAAGCTCTAATAGCCAATATGACGATGCTTCCTGGCCATCAAACAATCTTCTCACGCACCACGTCACTGGGATGATGCTGCTGTGATTGCCTGAACATGATGCATGCTACTACCTTCTGTTTCTTGCTGGGACGACGAGGAGAAGGACTGCAGTGACTACAGTGACAGTGACAGCAGTGACTACATTGACTACAATGACTACATTGACTACTACTACTACTACTACTACTACTACTACTACTTCTTGTGTTCTGATTATAATATTGAATTTATGTTAGTAAGATGGCTGCTACTCTTTTGCGATGCAAGAGAGCCTCTCTGGAGCGACGCCACGCAGCGGAAGGGCCGGGTTGGTTTCTGCAGCTTGGGCCGCACCTGGCTGTACTATACTATAACATACTTATTATAGTAATACACAGGACATAACATCAATATATATATATATATATATATTATATATATATATAGTAATCTACTGTAATATTCCATAATATGCTATACTCTACTGCAATATACTACACTAACATGGACTATCATGGACTGTTGTGGTTGTGGATGCTCCTCTTGAAGGAGGGTCTCCTCCTCAGCGTTGCTCAGCGCTCCATTTGTATGTCTCAAGGGCAACACTCGTGTCCTCGTGCATTTTTTCAGATGCCGCGCTACTATCATGGATGTATCGGTCCCAGGCCCAAACCTCAAGCTAGCATAGATTCGGCAGAGATCGCGCCATCTTTTTCTCGCCCCTTTCGCTCCCGGCGCGCTGCCGGAGTCAGGTGCCTAGGCGACGCTTCTTCTTGGTCTTCGGCTTCGGCTCAGCCTGCGCACAGCTCACCGAGCTTCTGGCTTCCTTCGTTCAGTTGTCAACAAGTCAGACATACAATGCATACATGCAATCTAGGCATGGCATGCATTACATTAATGGACGTGTGTGTTCGCAGGGCTGATCAGGGTGCGCCCCACCGCAGGGAGTCGGCCCCAAGCGAGCGAAAGGAACCAACTCTCGAGAGGCGTTGGCTGGATCATGGCAAGACAGTCCACTTCACTCCCACGAAGCTCTCCTCCATGATCCCTCATGACTCACGAAGCTACCAAACCAGGAGCGCACACCCGAAGACAGGGCTGAACCAGCCAGCGATAGGTATAAAGAAAGTCAATCGTCCAAAAGTGAAAGCATACAGGCATCGCCAGCAAACATAAGTACGATACAATTTGCCCAAGTTTGTACAGGCTGGCAACCTCACCAGGCAGCATGCCGTTTGCGCGCAGGGGCATGCCCAAGACTATGGGCAGCACGAGCAAACGAAGGGGAATGCAAGCAGATAGATATGCATACATACCCATGTACATACATACACATATCTGTGTAGTGCATACGCTGTAGAGGCATATAGAAGCGCATGTATACACTCAAAAATCGCGTTCCGGCATGCGATTGGGGAGGAGTTTCCAGTGAATTGAAAGAACGCGTCGTGCACAGGCATCAAGACACGGGGTCTGAAGTCTGGAGATACGTGTAACTGAATGTAGGGCCCTTAATAATTAGAATAAGGGTTTTGGGGGTTCCTCATTTTGATTAAATTATAGCACAACATATCCCAAACCCTATTCTAAATATTAAGGCCCCTGTACCCTAAACCCTTATAGTTACCCTTACAGAATCCTTTAAGGAACCCTAGAACTATTGATTATTGCCCCTTTATTACCTCACCGGAGTCGCTTCCTTAACGCTTGGCCCCTCACTAACTGCTTTTCGGCTGCTGCTGCTGCTGCTGCTGCTGCTGCTGCTGCTGCTGAACATACCCACGCGCACACTGTAATACGTAGTATACAACTCAACAAAACTCCACGCAACATATGTATGTACATGTATGTGTATGTATGTATGTATGTAAACATACACACATACACTTTTAGCACTCGCGCTCGACGAGGTCAACATACATACATACATACATACATACATACATACATACATCCATGCATCCATGCATACATGCATACATGCATACATACATACATCGTGCATGCATACATACATGCATCCATGCATATGTACGTACATATGAGGGTATGTATGTTTGCCCCTAGATACAGTACCGCACAAATCTACATGATGTCGTATAATTCACAGCACAAGCACCATAAACCCTACCCACCCTATCGAAGTCTACTTCTAAAGGACCCCGATGGTTTCTGGACAGTGCAATGCCGAGACTGGCCTCGATCTCCTCTGCCGGAGGCTCCGTCGTCTCCTCCCATCGAAAACTCTCTGCAAAAAGTCCTAGTAGAGGTTAGGGTAATGGTTTAGGGTTTTTGCGCAAGGTTGATCGGTTTCGACTCGCACACTCGCCTAAGGCAGGCACGGATTCAGGTGAAGAGGTCCAATTACGATAGGCTAAGGGAGGCAAGGAAGTGAGGACATGGGTCTACATGCAGTCGTTTTTAGGCTTCGTGGCCAGCATCCTCTAGCTGTAGATGACTTCAGCACACTCCATACCCGAGAGCCCAAACAGAGTTGAGAACCCTTGACCCTGAAGTCTCCGCACCGCTCAAAAGCATACTCGTGTCGAAAGGAGCGAACGAGAAAAACACCATTGCGAAGCAAGAGTGCGAAACACACCCACTAGGTTGCTGGATTGAGGTTGGGAGTCCGAGGCGGTTTAGGCGCCCCTCATCTTGTGTTCCGTCGTATATGCTGGTACCTTGGCAGTCGGCAAAATCAGGGTCTTGTCTATGATAGCCAAGGCACTCAGCACCAAGCTCACAGAATGTCGTCATGGGGGCTTCAGAGAAGGATCACCTAGCTAAACATATTACGTTACCCATCGTAAACCTGAACTCAACACTCGACCCCAAGGCCAGGTTCCCCAACTACACAGCACAACTCAGGAGCGGACTCCATAACAAACCAAGAGTGATGAGAACTGAAGGGTTCACGCTCTCACAACTCACTAGGGTTTCAGGGTTTTATAGCTCATACAGTAGGGTTTGGGGTTTAGGCTCACTTGAGCTGCGAAATCTCAACCCCACTGCTCAATATCTGGCCTCTGCCGCGGGCGCTGCCGGCGGCTCGATGGCTTTCGGCTTCTTCCTACCTTTAGGCAGCTCGAATGCTATTCCTATGAGCAACTAGCAATTACTCAAGTCAGATTCCTTCGCACTATAATGCATGGACGACCCAGGTTTGACGAGGCAGATGCTCTGCGGCAGCATTCCTGTAACTTATTTGATACAGTTAGGCTTCATCAAGATCACAGATCGACAAATCGCATCAGCGAAACTGTCGCACTGCACGCTCGATCTGTTATCGTGTCCGGGCTACTCTTCGCGCCCTTCGACTGCGGCAGGTTCTCATCTGCGAGGGCCTGCGATCTTAAACTAGTCGTAGTAGATGGGCTTCACGGTTGAGGCTTCGCATTTTGGCTTGTTCACGTCCTTTGAGCCTTCAAGGCATGTGTCTGCTTTGGGTGACATCTGGCAAGCCTATCAACTTTACCTTGTCCATTGTCTAGAACAGCACCAACATGTCGGCTTAAAAGTCTTAAGTTCCAGCTCAAGCCTGCTGCTAAGTTCGCCTTACAACATCGATCCCGTGCCGCGTAGGACAGCGAAACATGTGCGAACCAACTCATCTGATTTTTGACTCAACATGACTCACCTCTTCGGGCTCACATGGAACAAGCTTACATTGCTTGCATCCCGAGAAACTTTACCGCATCCTCATCCATCGCTAGCAAGATGTCCCCAAAACCATTATGAAACATCCCCTTAATTTGAAGCCCTTTAGCAGAAACCCTAAGCCCCAAAAATCTCATCTAAACCTCAAATGGCTCCAATTGTTTGACTGCCTCCCCAGCTGCGCTATCAGAGGGGAGGCTGCCCAGGTATCCTTGGTGCTGCTCTGCAGGAGGTGACGCAACACGAGAAGACTTGGGGCAGTGTAATATCATATCATATATAGATGTACATATACATGAACATGTATTCATATCAAATATTGACGTGCATCATATACATAAAGAGAAAATAGACAGAGGGAGAGAGAGAGAGAGAGGGAGGGAGGGAAACTATATACTCGCCTGCAGGCACCAGCAGTAGGGTAGTTGCTGATTCGCACCCAAGAAAGGGAATTTAAGGGGCTAGATTAGGCTCTGATTCGTCTGCTCTGCTCACAACCCCGAAAACGGGTACTTAACGGTACTTACAATAACCCACCCCACAGCTCCAACGCAGCTGCGACAGCGAGGGCCGGGCACTTTGATTATACCGGAAACATAAGAAAGTGGAATTGTGCTGATTCTACAAGGTCTTCCGGCATTGTCATCCGGCGACGATCGCTGAGCATCTGAGCTTGAAGGTCGTGAACCTATCAATCACAAGTCCGACTATCACCGCCGTGCTCTTTTTCAAAGAGGTCTCTGCCGCAGTGCTCTAAACTCTAAACCAATGAGTTACCCCAGCTCTTGAGGGTTCATGCGTTACAGTTTGTCGGTAGAAGCCAAGCAACTCAAGAGGTATGTGTTGCTGTCGAAGATCTTGGCCATCGCAGCCTTGTGAGACTTGCAGAGTTGTTTCGGGTGTCTCTTCGGGGCACCGTGACTCCTGAACCGTTACTGAGAGGCTCGTGTGGCTACCGCATCAATGAAAAAACCTTCAAAGGTTTCTGGCAATCTACTCAATGTTTGTCTTTTTGACAGGCGGATAAAAGGCTCCGGCCCAAAGACAACAAAAACCAGAGAGAATACTGTAAGTTTGGTTTCTGCCTGCAACACAGGTGCATGTCTCTGCGACAGCTCGACCAGCAGCTGAAGACACAGTGCAGCCACGTCCGACCGAGATGCAGCCACCTCATAGCGGTACCGCAGCGCGGCGCGCTACGATTTCACGTCTACCTTAAATTCCTACATCTGCTTTGCTTATCTTAGCTGCTTGCGTTGATCACGACTGCATGAAGCTGCCAGTTGCGGAGCATTTCAACGATAGGTTGCTGCAATCTGTGGCACGCCCTGAGGCCGTCACGGAAGCATTGCACCGGAAACCAGATGTAAGTCGCCATCAGTCTCTGCTCCAACCCAGTCTATCGTTATTAGTGCGCGGAGCGCAATACCTCTCCTCTTGACGACGTCAGTTCGGGCTAAGTAGGGGCTGCACACTGTCCACTCGCCATGCCTGCATGGCCCTGTCGACATAGTCTTTACATGCCACCGCACAAGAAATAGGTAAATCTGGAAGAAGCCAGGGTTTTCTGTAAAAACTGCTCACCACACGGTTTCGACTCTCAGATTGGACCTGTGCAGAGGATGTGGCGGGATCTTGCACATCTCACTCATTTCTCCGAACGGCAACTCGGCATACAAACCTGCTCCGACAAACCC